AGTGGATTGTTGACCGACATTCAAGGGAAGAATTGAAGGGATTTATTTCAGTGACATTTTGCGGTGGGCTAATTAGACGACTGGAAGGTATAGACTCATAATTATGCTTGCTAATTCGAAACGCACAGTGTCTTCAAAGTATGACATTCACGAGTAAAATAAATGCAATGAATAAAATAATAATAAAAATAATGGGACACGTGTTAAGGCTGAGACTATGATTTTCTTATGTATTTGAAATATCAAAAAAGAATTCCCCTGAATGAGAAGCCAAGCGACCAACAACATCTCATTGATTGGTTTATTGATGCCATGCCAGCAGATTTGCAATTCGAGCTCACTCAGGCGCTTGAACTTACTCACATGGGATGAGCTAATATCTCAAGCGCGCAACATGGAAGATTCTTTTTTTTTATTTTTAAGCTAAAGCTCAAAGACGAGAAGGCATCTAATACGAATGAAACAGAACCCACTGGGAGGGACGACACGTCCAAGTTTCCCTGCATGTGGCTCGTCTAATCGTCAACCTTCTTTGGGATAATAAGTCCTAGAGATCTAACTTATCACTTCGAGTGAAGGAACAACCACTGATATAATAGGCAGCTGCCCTACTTGTCGACGCGAGAATATAGGATAGAACGGAAAAACCAATAAATTGTAAAGTTCATGCAAGATTGGGGTGAACAATTAGCTGAGATATCATCCATAAATGGAGCTTTTACTCAACTTGGGTGCAAGAGATACTTGTTTGAGATAAGAGTGGGGGGATTAATTGAAGAAGATGGATAAGAGCCTTTGACTTATTCTATCTGTTATAGTCTATTTACCCACAACCTTGATTTTAATATTTTGCTTCCTAAAACTTAACATAGATCGCTAAAATCTTTAAACAATCACCTAATCCCATGGGTACGAACCAAAGCAAAATGATAAGACTAATTAGAGAAAATCAAACTGGAGTAAGGAGGCCTAGTGAGAGAGAAAAAGTCCAAAATTCTTGTTTCAGAAAAATGTGTGAAGAAACCTAAAGAGTATGAGCTCTAGGAAACGTTGCCACTTCATTCCACTATTTCTAATATTTTAAAGATAAAATTATATTGAATGATTTTTTTAGGAATCAGTAATCATTCTTTGACGAAACTAAATTCAATTGTGCTGCTAGGATGGGCATTATAACTGGAAAAAATAAATTCTTGCTTGCATGTAAAAATCACATGAAAACAGATATATATGCCTCAATCCAGGGGTCAAAGCACACTTTATTAACTTTTTAGCATGCACGAAGAATAATTAACTATAATTTGATTTTTTCCCACTACTTTTTTTATCTAGTTAAAATCGGATAACTTCCATGTATGATGAAATATTTTTTTCACAATTACATTCCATATCCTAGTGAGGAATTGGCCTTCTGCAATAGGATAACTTAGGAAATTAAGAAGTAGATTCGAATACAATAGTTCAAAGGAGATGAAGGCACTTGTGTTTGCTCCATATGATTTATTAGATTGGTATTGATGATGGTGATAAGTGTGTCTAAGAGAGAGAGAGAGAGAGAGAGCATACATTTGGAGTTGCATTATTTGGATATTCCTTGTATGTATGAAGGCATTGTTTCAGACCATTCAAGGACTTACAGGTGGGAAAATGTGTCACAAGATCATTGTGACGCTCCTCCTGTCTTATTCTGGCTCTGACGCTACCTTGATTTTTATCTGGTGCAGGCCTCGAGGTGTGTACTAGAACTCGCAATTGCCATACCCTGAAATGTATTATTCATGAAAAAAGATTTTTAGAAGTACTTCTATAGAAAATATATGCTTAAAAATTTGAGAAGATATTTTAATATTTTCAGGTTTTCAGTTGATTTTTTTTCTGAGATTGGACTTCAAAATCAGGTTCAATGAAACAAAAAAACCAGCTAGGCCCAGATACCACAGTTTCTGTAGTGCCCATTTGTTTCCTGTCTCTCTGTCGCTATATATCTGTGACGCATATACAAAGGGAGAGTCAGATTAGGCCATGTAGGAGAAGGCGGAGCCCGATACGAGTCCTATCGAGAGAAGAACCGGTCCGAATTCTCCAAATTATTCGGTTGGTCGAACTGGACACGATGCCCCTGCCACCTGGCGCTCGCCTACTACCATTGCAATGCAGATAATGACTAATTATTTAGCGTAATTAGGGACTCACTTGGGCGCTGGTAGACGACGCGGGCTGCACCGTTGAAGTCACAAGCGCCGGCGTCGCGGCCGTGCTGCTGGTAGTAGCTGTTCATGGCGTAGGAGGCGTGAGCCTCCAGTGTGTTGGGCTCAAAGCACCGCCCTCCAAGCTGCAAGGGCCCGCAGTCCGCGCCGCCAGCACCGCACGCCCAGTCCAACGCCGCCTGCAGCTTCTGGCTCCCCGCCGCCACGTTGGCTACGCACCACGAGCCCCCACCTCCGCTGGGGCGGAAGTCGATGTCGTAGACCTTCGTCCCGTCCGGGTAGAAGATCCCGAAGTTCCTCTCTACCTCCGGTCCCTCCTTGAGGTTCTCGTTGAAGAGAGAGAATATGTAGATGTCCATGTCAGCGTCGGGGTGCAGCGGCGTCCCCGTCCTCCCGGCGAGGATTCTCTCTATCAGGTTCCCGTTGTACGCCTGAGCGTTTTCCGCGCTCGGGCCCCTCTCTCTACTGAGGGATGCCTCTTCCATGCCGGATCTCCTTCTGCCCTCTGGAGAGCTCTGGATAATGCTCAGCGGCCACTTGAGTCGAGTGGGGTGCCCGGTCTCTTGGATGACCAACTTCTTGCCTGCTGCGCCAAGGGCTCTAGCCGTAGAGTTGCCGAGGTGGTCTCCGAAGCCGAGCGCGGCCATGCCGGAATACACGGCGTCTAGCTGCGCGTCGAGGAGGCTGTAGTAAATAAGGCCAGTGCGGGGGTCTCGGACGCCGTTGTTCGGCAGGCCGAGGGCGTAGTTGAGGTCGATGCCGGGGTTCTCCATGTAGGTGATGTAGGGGTACAGATTGATCATGAAGAAGGAATCGGTGCGGCGGATGAAGTCCAGCATCTGCCGTACGACCGGCTGGAGATCGCCCCGGAAGCTGCCCTCAGACGGCGGGAAGGACTTGTCGAAGGCGGTGAAGGCGACGGGGGAGGAGACCTTGATGGCGCCGGCCAGCCCGAGGTTGTTCAGGGCATTATAGACGTTCCACATTGCCGGGATGATCGCGTAGGTGAGGTCGGGCCGCTGGTGGAAGACCTCGTTACCGATGGAGATTGCCTCGATCTGGGTGGCAGGGTAGTACCTGGCTATGTTCTCCCATACCCAGGTGCCGGCCACGTTGGGGTTGGTGGCGCCGGAGAGCTTATCGTTGGGGAGCGCCACAGAGACCCTAATACCGGATCCGGCGAGGGCACGGAGGACCTCGCCATCGGTGTCGTAGATGCTAACGGCTGTGATGCCGTCGGCCTTGAGAAGCTCCACCACCTTGCTCGGCGGCGGCAGGTTGTTTGCCACTCGGCCGTAGTCCACCCCGATGACCCCCCCTGTCGCTGCAAGACATGGATAATCAACACCAGTCGAGAACTTAGGATAGCGGAGAAGGGTGAGGGACTGGTCATTCCGGCTCACCTGTGGGCGCTGAGGCGAGGAGGAAGAGGATGAAGGGGAAGAGGCGAGGACGGCGGGCGAGCTCCATCCTAATTTCGGTCTTCTCAGCCTCGCCGTTGATGCTCCGAGGTGGAGGTGAGTCAATCTTAGGTCTCCCATTTGTAGCTGGAATGAGATCGGATCGTCACGCAATTCTGTTAGCCGCCGGCGGCGCCAGCTAAGATAACATCACATGGCACAATTTAATTCCCCATTATTCTGTTTTTTACCTAAATACCCTGTCAAAGTTGTCTATGATAAAATGACCTTCTCCTTTTTTATCAAAATTCATTCGTAAATACTTTCGAAGAGGATTACTTCGTAATAAACTGAACCATCATTGAGGAATGACTTGACGGGTTAATCTGGAACAGTTTTGAGATTTCCAAAGCCCAGAGTAGGATGTATTTCTGAAACATAGTGAAGTTCAAAGCTCAAAACTTGGCTGTTGAGGCCAAACTCCAATCAAGACCTGGCTTATCTTGACTAATAAGTTGGAACGGGAAGGAATAATTCTATGACCAGTGTGGGACCTATTCAGAGCTGGAATGTACATGAATGATCGTCTGATCAAATATCAGGTTTTGATATTTTTTGAGACCAAAGTTTTAGTGATGTTAATAATTTTCTAATTATTTGGAAATTACTCTTTTTAGGCAGATGATGGATTTACAAGCAGAAGTATGTGCAATAAAATGTGCCTAAAGGGTTTCTTTTTAGTTAAGTAGGGATAATGTAATAGCGCTAGAGTTGATGTGAGAGGTATTACTCCGCCGATGTTGAGGCCTTATCGATTCCCAAATAGTCGCCCCACGTGACAAACAATGCCATCTCGCTTCTCTCTCTCTCTCTCTCTCGCGTTCCCCCACCCTATCTTTTGCCTATGTTTGAGTAGGTCCGTCCGGAGAAACCCAGCTTTGTTACTTTTGCCGCGTGCGTCGTTGTTCCAGCTTATTGCCGACATAAGGTTCCAAGTGGGTGTGGGCTCCTCGGCGGCCACATGATTCGTTTGACCAGAGACGGGAAGCTTTGGATAAACAAACCTTCAATTTTGATTATTTACCCCCGCCCCACCACAGATCATGATGATTCATATCCTCCAACATAATCAATTTTACAAGGATATAAATGGTAATAAATAAGTAAAAGCCCTTATCAATAATTTTCTTAGTATAGATAATTCATGATTCCCACATCCAAATAAAACAGGCCTTTGGACTTTTGATGATGACACACCTACCTACTGATACCTACTAATATCATTATTGGTAAAAATTAAAAGTTCATTATAATGAGGTATAAAAGAGAAAACCACTAGATAAGATTTCGGGTTCATACTTTCATGAATTAATCTTTTCTCTAATAGTTTTTCAACTTGTTCTTGTAGAATTTTATTCTCCTTAGGGCTCATTTTGTAATGAGGTAAATTTGGCATACTTGTTCTAGGAATCAAGTCTATATGACGTTGCATGCCCCTAAGTGGAGGAAGATTTATAGAGGAATCTTGTGTGATAGAAAACTCATTTAACATATTATGTGCTGCCTCAAGTATAACACTAGAATCATGCAAAGAGACATTCTCCTTTTTAACTAGCTATTATTACAGAATTTTCTTTCAAAGTATTAAATAGTTCCTTTTTGTTAATCATTATAACTTTCAGAATTTACTATGAGTTGCATCTAAATCATATTGCCATGGTCTACCCAAAATTAGATGACAAACATCCATCTCAACAACATCACAATAAATTTCATCAAAATATAGTTTTTCCATTAAGAATTTAACTAAACAAGTCTCTATAACTTTGGTTTCATAATCCTTCTTTATCCACCCAATTCTATATGGATGTGGATGTTTTTCAGTTTTCAGCCCCAATTTCTATACCATCAAAGAAGAAATAATATTTTCACTATTGTCAAAATCAATAATCACATCACATACCTTCCCATCAATAGTGCATTTTGTTCTGAAGACATTATGACATTGGGGAGGTTCTTCCTTCTTTGGTGCATACATCAGTCTCCAAACAACTAGAGAGTGACCAAAGTCTTCTTCTTCTTTACTTTCAATAACATTCTCTTGAATTTCTTCTTGATCTTCTACACCCTCAATTTCCTCTTCATCTATGGCTTCTATGAAATTCACAGCACCACATTTTGGACAAACATTTGATTTGTGACCTTCTTTATTACATCTGTAATATTTTAGAATAGAATTAGGTACATATGGATTCCTTTGAGAAGAATTTTGTCACTAGTAATAGATCCACTTGGTCTTAGTGTAGTTGAGGTTGCTGATCTTCCATTATTGGTAACAGATGAAATATGTGCTGGTCTTGACCTATTTGACTGAAATATTGACATATTAGTAAAATTTCGAGTTCTAGATTTTCCTTTCTCCAATAAAGCTTCAACATGTTCTAATGTATAACAACATCATTTAACTTAAAAAATGATTGTAAAGTAACTTTTTCTTCAATATCCCATTGAAGTCTACTTTTAAATCTAGAGATCATATAAGCTTCAGATGCAGTCAAATTGACTCTTGAAGAAAGTCTGTAAAATTCCTCAACATATTCTGTGATAGATCTACTTCTCTATTTATAACTTTGATATTGATGATATAAAATCTGTTCATAATCAAGAGGAAGAAATCTAGCTTTTAATAATTTTTTCATCTTATCCCAACTTCGAACATAATCTTTTTTAATCTTGCACAAGTGGATTGTAGCTGATCCCACCAAGTAGAGGCTCCACCTTTGAGTTTATAGGCAACTAATTTCACCTATTTCTCATTAGAAATCTTGATATATTAAAAAAATCTCTCAACTTTAGAAATCCAATCAAGAAATTTTTCTATTTTTAAATGTCCATTAAAACTAGGCAAATCAATTTTCATTCGAAAATCTCTACAATCATCATGATCAGATCTACCTTTTGAGCTTCTTATATCATTTGATAAGTTTTTTCTATGAGAGATAGAAATCACTTTATTTTTTACCAGTTTGACCATGAGATTAACATTCTATTATAGACATTCATGCTATGATTTGCTTCAACGTGTCATTCAAATTTTCAAATTTTTATTCCATATGAATCTTGAAATTAGCAAATTCTGATTTTGAAATAGGACATACCTTAGAACATTCATTGTCATTGATGTGAATCCCTTTACCTCATGACATCTTGTAAATCTAAATCTAGAATGCTAACCTTGCTCTAATACCACTTGATGTAGTGAAACTTGAGGAGAGAATGGCTTGAATGAGTTGTGATCAACTTTGATGTTGTGGAGGTCGAAGACACATCTTGAATCTTCAAAAAACATGTTCCAATGGTTGTCCTTTTGCTCTAAATCCACAAGGTGAAGAGGGCAGGTCCCTTGAGTCCACAAGAGGGGTGATTCTAAATCCACATAATCAAGAATAAGTTCCTTGAGTCTATAGGGGTGCTGGAGTCCATTAGTAGAGGAAGAGAACTTGAAGAGAAGAAAACTCACAAAATTATATTGAAAAAAGGTAATCTCCCTCTAGGGCTATAGGGGGTGCCTTTAAATAGGCTACAAAGTTTTGATTTGGGGACCAAGATTTGAATTTCAAATGAAAATTTGATTTTCAGATGAAATTTTAAATTAAAAAAAAAATTCAAATTTAAAATTTGAATTTCAAATTCAAATTTAAATTTTAAATGAAAATAAAAATAAAAATAAAAATAGATATATGGGCCTAGTTTCGTAATTGGGCTAGTTAAGTAAAGTGGGCTTGAAGCTGCAACAGTAATAGGCTTCAAGGTGCATCAAGTAAAGTGGGCTTCAAGCTGGATCAATATTGGGCTTCAGGCTTCTTCAATAGTGGGCTTCAAGGTTTGAGCTGCATCATGCAGTGGTGGAGACAAGTCCCGTTCACCACTAGCACTTCAAAAACTTTAGGTTTGAGTTTTCTTCCTAGTATATTATAAGTCATATAATTACAAGTAATTCTAAAATTAGGATAAGAATGGGGGTGAGATCATTTTAAATAAATATTATGTCAATTAAGTAATATATGTTCATGTTCTAATGTGAAATGAAAAACATATTTAAAAGTTTGGAAATATGTAATAGATATTTCATTTTATTAGGGTCATAAATTTCTTAATGTATCTCGTCCTACTCATTCCAAATTTAGCATGGCTTGAATTTATGTTTTGGTGAATTATTGTACATGTCACAAGAGATTGTTTCCAATAGGAGTGCCATGATACTTTGAAAATAAATTTGTCGTTAGACTAATGCATCCATATCTGAAAGTGAGTCACTGAGATTATTATTATTATTATATTTTTTTAGAAAAGTTCAAATCATTATCTAATCTTGCTTATATTGCTCATATTTTAAAAATTCATTTATAACCAAATCTTTTTGATACATGGTAAGCCCTTGGATCACCTTCCCATTTTCTTCCTTCACTTTACTAGACAATAAATATCAATCCATGTTGCTCTAATAGTTTATATCCATCATTTAATTGAAGAATAATTTATAGGAACTGACTAGTGTGTAGTAAGCATTGTGAAAGTTGTAGCTCATAATCAAGGAAGAAAGAGGAAAACTCATTTTATTCTGTCATAACTCACTCCTTTTATTACAAGACATGCTTATTGTGCAGCATGGGTGATCTGAAATCACTCCATTTACTCCATGATCAACATAATAAGATGCCTTGTTCCACTTTCATCAAGATGATGATGGCAGCTTGCAGTTTCCAAACACTGCAAAAGTTAATTACAAAAGAATGAAATATTTTAAAAATATTTTATTGGAAATTATTGTGAAGAACAAAGGGACTAGAATAAAACATGTGATGCGGGAAAACATGATTTCATTATATTTACCAAAAACATGATATCTTTATGTCTTTTGGATGATCATATTTCATGGAATTTATCACCTATATGAGCCTTGAATGATTAGTGCATCAGGTTTTGATCATTTGTAGGAAGCCATTGTAATTAACGATATCAACTAAACCAATAACTACATATTTCCTAAGATTACACCACAAAAAAACTATCATGGAATTGAACAGAAAACGTGTCTCGGTTTGGGTAATCACAAGATTAAAATTATAATTGTTGAATATATTATCAAAATAATCACGATATTATTCTGAATATGTAGGGAGTTCTCACCTTTATATGTTCCTCTTGTATTACATGGTTTTAGGAGTAATCCATTGTTTTATATTCTTTAGTTTTTTGTTAAGGGAAGAACAATCGCCCTGAATAAAAATAATAAGGATCCAAGCTAAATTGTAGAACTGATTTGACGAGTGACCCACCTGGGCGCTGGTAGACGACACGACCTGCCCCCTTGAAATCGCAGGTGCCGGCGCCGCGGCCGTGCTTTTGGTAGTAGCTGTTCATGGCGTAGGACGCGTGGGCCTCCACCGTGTTCGGCTCGTAGCACGCGGCACCCCGCTGTATCGGCGCGCAGTCCGCCCCGCCTTGGCCGCACGCGTACTCCAGCGCCGCCTGCAGCCTCTGGCTCCCCGCTGCCGGGTCGGCCACGCACCACGAGTCCCCACCTCCGGGTCGAAAATTGACGTCGTAGACCTTATTCCCGTCCGGGTAGAAAAGCCCGAAGTTCCTCTCCGTCTCTGCCCCCTGCTTGAGGTTCTCGTTGAAGAGAGAAAATATGTAGACGTCCAGGTCGGCGCCGGGGTGCAGCGGCGTCCCCGTCTTCCCGTCGAGAATTCTCTTTATCAGGTTCCCGTTGTAAGCCTGAGCGTTCTCCGCGGTCGGGCCCCTCACTGTGACGAGCGAGGCGTTCCAGATTCCTTCCTCGGCGCCTGCCCCTTTGGTCTTCGTCATGCGTTCTCGTGGAGACGGCCTGCGTGGGACGACGGGGTGCCCGGTTTCCCAGACCGCCGCTTTCCACCTGCTGGACGACGAGCGCTCCCCCGCCATTGGACTGGCGGTGTCCCCGAAGCCGAGCGCCGCCATGGCGGAGTACAGGGCGTCCAGTTGCGCGTCGAACAGGCTGTAGTACATGAGACCAGTGCGGGGGTCTCGGACGCCGTCGTTGGGCAGGCCGAGGGCGTAGTTGAGGTCAATTTGGGGGTTATCCATGTAGGTGATGTAGGGGTACAGATTGATTGTGAAGTAGGAGTCGGTGCGGCGGATGAAGTCGAGCATCTGCCGCACAACTGGCTGGAGGTCCCCGCGGAAGATGCCCTCAGACGGGGGGAAGGACTTGGCAACGGCAGAGAAGGCGACGGGGGAGGAGACCTTGATGGCGCCGGCCAGCCCGAGGTTGTTCAGTGCATTGTAAACGTTCCACATAGCGGGGACGATGGAGGAGGAGAGGTCGGGCCGCTGGTGGAAGACCTCGTTTCCGACAGCGATGGCGTGGATCTGGGTGTTAGGGTAGTACTTGCCTATGTTCTCCCATACCCAGGTGCCGGCGACGTCGGGGTTGGTGGCGCCGGCGAGCTTATCGTTGGGGAGCGCCACAGCGACCTTTATGCCTGAGCCGGATAAAGCGCGGAGGACCTCAACGTTGGTGTCATAGATGCGGACGGCTCCGATCCCGTTGGTCTTGAGGAGATCCACCACCCTTCCTGGTGAAGGCAGGTTATCGGCCACCCGGCCGTAGTCCACTCCGATAACGCCTCCTGACGCTGCAAGACCATTGTCGGTCAGGCACAGAAGCAAGATTCCAGAAGTCGAAGTGACGAAGCTCAGGTCCATACTCACCGCTGGAAGCCAAGAAGCTAAAAAACGAGAAGACGAAGATGACAAAGAGGGACGGAGAGGCAGAGCCTGGAAGTTCCATAGCCATTTCTTGAGCGGCGGTGGGGCGTTCCATAGGCCATCGTGAGAAGTTTATAGATAACAGCTTGGTGGAAGCGGCGTCGGAATGATGACGTAAGGATAAGGAGGGGTCCTTCCTGGGTATGCTTTCGTTGACTGCGAAGACCCTTAGTTGCCTTTTGATGAGTGGTTGACGGACAAAAGAAGTTAGGACTATGACACTATCGTTGACTGAAAGGTCATGTTGGTCTCAACTGTTGACTAGGAAAACGGGAAGCTTCTTACATCATTCTCTCATAAAATAATCTATAATTTCTACGCTACTTCCTTTAGAAACATCAAAGATTAGAGATTTTCTTACGATATACATGTACACTTTTATTTGAACTACACAATATGTATTTTTTAATTAAACTATTTTCCATCCTTTTGGATGTCAAATTCAAATGGTCGACTAGGTTAGGCATCTACCTTTCAGCCAAGAGATATTTGACATTAATCCAATTTGACACTAAGAAAACGGAATTCAAAAATAAGTTTCTAGGGCTGAATCTATATTTCCTAAAAACTGAGATACATCTAGAAAAGGAATTTTGGACCTGAGTCCATGGCCCCATTTCACCCTAGGATGACTCATTTTGTGGTTCCCTAAAGTCATCAAGTAATATTAAGTAATAATTGACAACCAAAATTATTCCATGGAACTTTTTTTATTAAACTATAAACTTCTAAATCAATTAATTACAGCTAATTGATGACATGATCCCGCCTTATGCCAAAAATCATAATTTTTTTGCTTTAAATTTATAAAATGTGATGTTCAGTAATATCCCAAACTTTTTTCTTAGGGTTTTAATAATTACTTAAATTATTTATAAACCCTAATAAATTTTTGACAATTCTAAAAAACGTCACATATATAAAAAGTTTAATTTAGTTGATTTTAGAAAAAAGTCAATTCTAAATATTTTGGATTTAATTGTCGGACTTGTCAATAAGGGGGTTGAATTAGTGAAGCGGAGTTCAACCTTTTTTTTTGACTTGTCCTCTTTATTTCAATATTGTGTGATACTAAGGGTGTTGATGTGATGTTTACATTGAATAACAGATTGAAGTCACCTACTTCACAGTTCTAACAGCCAATTGTCCAAATTATAACTATGTAAAATAAAAAGAATGTACAAGATCAATAATCATTCATATTTGTTGTTTCACACTTCTTGCTTTGTAGATTCTCATTACTTATAGATTTTAGGCCATAGATCAAGAACGTGGTCTTGAACTGGTCAATCTTCATTTTAACGTTTCCTAAACTACTTTAAAATTATTTAATCTCCATCCTCCGATCCTAAATTCTAGGGGACAGCCTAAATCTTTTACCTTATTGGCAGCAAGAGTTTATTATAGCTGACCCGTTATCCATGACTAATCTCCAACAACATTTTACTTTAGATGAGTAAGTGAGATAGGGAGAGATAGAGTGGGAGTATGGAAGAGATGGGCAATAACCGTAGGAGCGATAAAGAGAGAGAGAGAGAGAGAGAGAGAGAGAGAGAGAGAGAGAGAGAGAGAGAGAGAGAGAGAAAGGGTTTTTTGAGGCAGAGGCAGAAGTAGAGATAGAGATAGGAGGGAATGATAGATAGAAAGAGAGAAAGAGAGAAAGAGAGAAAGGGAGAGAGAGAAAGAGAGAGAGAGAGAGAGAGAGAGAGAGAGAGAGAGAGAGAGAGAGAGAGAGAGAGAGAGAGAGAGAGAGAGAGAGAGAGAGAGAAAGAGAGAGAAAGAGAGAGAAAGAGAGAGAATGGTAGATAGAAAGAGAGAAAGAGAGAGAGAGAGAGAGAATGGTAGATAGAAGAGAGAACAATTTTAAAAGGATTTTTTTACGAGGAAGGGGCAGAAGTAGAGATAGAGATAGGATAGAATGATAGATACAGAGAGAAAGAGAGAGAGAGAGAGAACAATTTTAAAACGATTTTTTTGAGATAGGAGCAGAAGTAGTAATAGATAGAAAGAGAGAGAGATAAATCATTTCTTTATGCTTCCTCTCTCTCTCTCCCCTCTCATTCTTTCTGTGACAGTGACTATTAAGTTGCCACATGATGGAAAGAGGGAGCAATATGAGATCTCTCCTACTGTGGGAAACCAACTTCTGCTCTGCCTTTTAATTTAAATATTTGAATTGGTCAATATTATGCACGAAATTTCTTTCTAAACTACTCTATGCACTCCATCTTTGGTGCTCTGTACCTACCAAGATATGTGATGCCTAAGCTAGATAGGAAGAGAGATAGAGAGAGAGAGAGATTCCTCATGCACACTAGAAGTTGTCATAAACACCATAATGGTCTCCCCTATGTATAAAGTAGTTGCAATACAAGTAGACACCTGTCAACACCAACCACTCTTTAGAATAATCTCTCTTTTATTGGAGTACTAAATGCACAATGTTCTGAGGATGACAAATAAATGTAATGTCCATTAAATGATTGAATTATTCTTAACTCTTAATATGCACGATATTAATATAAATGTGAAATAAGTCATATACCATACAATATAATAATATCAAATATTCAGATAAAAATTCCTTGAACATGCTTGTGACCATTAATAATGAATTTATATAGTTGATTTATTTCATCTTGTAACAATATGAATATGCATATTGTTGTAAAAAATATCCATGTTTATAAAATATGCCATAGTGAGAATGAAATAATTAACACATATGAAGCAAAGGGATTTCTTGAAATAAAATGAGTATGATAGGTTATTAATTCTTATATGTGCTCATGATATTAGATCATTAGTTTTGAATGACCTTTAAATTGAATAATCAACAATCTTAGACTACCTATTTAGTTGAATATAATTTTTTGAACATTAGTCATATATTTTAAAAAATATTATTAAACGTTTAATTACTGAAAGTATGATTATAAATATCGAGACCATTATTCAAGGTGTCTACTTGATGATTGTAATTTATTTGAGGTGAATTGGATCACATTAAATTCTTAAATCACCATTTCAATGTTAACAAATGCTTATATCATGAGATCTTTAATGAATTGATATAAATTGACACAAAGTGAATAGGAACATTAAACCTTAATAGGATCATGCATTGGTTTCATGTAAATATATCTAAGTTGATTCATGGACGTATTGTATCTAATTTTGAATTTATGTTTATTTCAAGAAAGATAAACACTAGGAGATTGTTGAAATCTTAGAAGATATTCATGAATTATTTACCTATAATAGTGTACAAATAGAGTAAGTATCATGGATTTTCATTAGATAACTAATAAAGTACAAATATTCTTATTTCCCTCACATCCTCTAGCTTTGAATACAATCCTTTACACAGGATCAAGAGAGAATGGGAAGAGTCTTGGCTAAACATAAGAAGGGCTTGAGTTGAGAATCAATTATCAAGCATCCAATAATCATCCTCAATTTACCACAAGCTGGAGATCCTAAAAAGACATGCTAGCATCCTTCTATGAAGAGGACAAACGAAATTTATCCTTTTCATCAAAATTTTAGAAATTCTCTAAGTCAATATTCTATTTAGAAAATAACTTATGGGGATATCTTTCATATTTGAAGTGAGATAAACATGAGTTTAAATCCTAATTTAATAAAATTGAATAATTATTATATCAAATAATTATTTTTCTTTAATAAAATATTTAGCTAAAATTGTATTGGAAAAGAGCCCATTTATCACTAGATGGTGATCGAACAATGATAACCTGTGGAACTAAAGAAAAATATTTTTTTAGAGAACACATCAGCTATAGGCCGAACTACTATAAAATTCCTTTCCCCCACACTTATGAAGATCGAAGGGTTGAAAAATTAAGGTGAAGATCAACTTACAAGAAAGAGGTCTAACTCTAAGGATGGTTAAGAATGTTGGGTTTTATGTTGCATAGAGGGGTTGAATTGATCCAATTTTATTTTAACACTAGGTCTCTATCACTAGTCAATCTTCCCCTAACCTTTCAAATTACTAAAATATTTTTAGATTAGTGATGTAAAACTTAGGGAATTTAAAATGGTTTTTCCCACTAACTAATCACAAACTACTGATTACTGAGCTCAAATTCCTTAAAATTTCACTTTGAAACACTATTCAATAATTGTTTAATGGGATGTCTCTCTTGATTTCTCAAATGAAGATTTAATCTAACATTTATCCCACTATGAGTATGAGATATGCCACCTTGACTTATCATTTAGATTACCATGTTGACATATAATGTGTCTTAAATTCCAGTGAAGAGGATGGAGCTTTAAGCTCAATTTGCATTAGTTTCATCTCATTTGGATGTTAGCAGATAAGTGGAGGGAACAACAACTTACAAAAGGTTAAGGATTATTGTTGAATATTTCATAGTTTATTCTTGACTTCAAAGCCCCCTCATTAATAGACTAGCCAACATGGACCGCTCTTGCCCTCACAAGTTTTCTCTATCCAAAGAGTTCATTATAACTCTCAAGGTTGTTCAAGAGATAAGAATGTTTCTGCTCTAGCTTTTCTAGCATAAAAAACTCTTGATACTTATCAGATTTTGCGATCTCCCACTATCTAGTCTTCCTAGAATATACATAAATTTTAAAAATTAAAAATAAAATACGATATATACATTAATCAGTTATTCTATCCTTATTAAAAACCAACATATTATCTTGTTGTGATGTAATGTTTCTATCTTGCTCATTGCAATTTAAATTAACTCAATAAAGATCTATCAATATGAGTATATAGCTGATAGCATTGAACTAATGATTTAGAAATCAAAACTAGTCTTAATCACCTCAAATAGAATACAATCATCAAGTAGACATTAACTCATGATCTCAATATTTAAAATCATTGGTTTTGACAACTCAAAATAATTAAAAACCTTTTCAATAGTATGTTGAAT